GGCCATGGTCAAAATGGAAGTTCTCTCCTCCCTTCAGAGAAAGGTACCTCCTTCTTTGATGACCCATTCTTTCCACTGGGATCTGACTCATGGAGATCTTTCATGTAGGTTTTTTTTTTTTTTTCCCCCAGAGTGTATTGGCTTTCCATGCCTGAAATACTCTCATGGGCTTTTCAGCCAGATCCGCATGCCTTAAGGGCTGATTCTGAGGCCAGAGTGCTGTCTAGGACATCTGCCATTCTACGGGTCTGCTGTGTATCTCACTTCCCATGCTGGATCATTCTCTCCCCCCTTACCTCAATCGGTAGAGTTAGAAAGATACCAGGGGATTCTAATTCAATCCCATCAAGGTGGCATGTACCAATGCCATCTCACTAGTCCCAGTGATCAATTTCTGTTCACAATTGATCATAATGATAGGACTAAGAACCAAAGGGATCACATAAACAAGAATAGTGTCTGCAAATACTAGCTGATAGAACTCTGACTTTTTTTAATATTACTTTCAAGTAAAATAAATAAATTTTAAAAAACTCCAGATATATCAATCCCTTTTGCCTGCGTCTGTCACAAATCCTATATTTGAAGAAAGCTCATATTTCTGACCAGGTTTCCTAGGACTTTTGTCTAAGATTCTTGGGCAGTTCACTCAAAACAAAAACCGTGTATGGTCCATAATGTTAAATATCCTTTATCATTATAATTATTGGAAAGAATTTGAGGTATTTACATGATATTGCAGAGCATTTAATCAATAAACTTTCATGGTAAGAAACATGGATAAACTGTTACAGTCAGTGAAGGGGAAAGACAAACCTATACCCACGTTCCTAGACCAGCCCCTTATTACCACATACTAGTGAATTCTCTCCGTACCTCACTTTCCTTATCTATGCAGTGATAATATTAATATTAATTTTATTACTAATAATAAATCCCTCAGTGGGCTGCAATGTAGTTTAAATTAGTAGTTTCATTAGACAGAGAGGACTGTCTGGTACATGCTAAGTATTCAAAATTTTAAGTACTCTCCACTAATGAAAATTCTTGAATATTATTATACTAATTGAGTATAATTTAGCAGACTATCTTTACAGCAAATTTTTGGTAACTAATTTAATTTACTTAATTTTTCTTATGGTGAATTGACATTTAAAACATAGATTTTTGGCAAATGCCTTGTTCCTCATTTCTAACATTTTCATTTTTAAGTAGATATTTAAGACTTTATTTTAGAATTAAATAAAAACTGCTTAGAGACTCGTTTGTGCTCTTTTAGGCACTCCTAGCATATATGGTCTTTCATTCTCAGATGAATCCTGTACGGTATTTATTATTAATGTCTCCATTTAATAAGTAAAAAATTGACAATGAAGTGTTAAGTAAAATTCCCATGGTTAGACATGATTTCTTTCACCAGCTCTGCTTTCCAATACAACATATGACTGACTTCATAGCAATGCCTGTATTTTTCGAGACACTTTACCAGGAACTCTCATTTTCATTTCCCTGTCATATGTAAAAAATTTATTATTTGTACTGGCATAACTACTCAAGTCAGAAAAATTAGTCCTGACAATTACAAAATTGTTTCCCTAGAACAATCAAAGGCTTTTAAATTTACTAAAATAATCTTTAAATATTTTGTGTTTTTTTATTATCTCTTTAAAAGTAAAAACTAATCTATATAAAATATCAAATACATGAAGTGTACAATTATATTACAGCTAGACAAGGATAAGATTATTTGAAGCAAAGAAAGTGAAGGTAGAGTTTTAGAGTTGGATGTTTTGATAATGTTGTTATTTGGATGATATTGTCAATATCATTCCCTCTGAGTTTTAAATACATATGAATAATCAAGGAACATAACATAGCAGTTTTCTGTGGACCTAATATTTGTTTACTTACATATTCTTTCACTGACATTAAATCGAGGAATAAGAGCATTAGTGAGAGACACTGTTATGGAAAAAAGTGACAATTTGGAAGTGACTAGAAAAATAAAAGGATTTCATGAAGCTAAACCCCTTCCCCTAATGCCTTTGATGTAGACTTGGCAGACATCAGTCAGAGTTGGCTGTAGTTTCACAGAACTAGTGCTTCTCATTCAAAGTATTGTGAGAGAGCTTCTCCCTCTTACAATGCAGTTTCCTCTCTCTTTTTCTGCATCTATTGTTATTATTGCCTTCTTTTAGCCTCTTGTTACTGTCATCAAAGACTCTTTGTGGGAACAAATTGGTTTGGTAGAAAGAGTATGAGTTTTTCAATACAGCAGTCCTGGCTTCCCATTATACTTGTTATTTTCCACTTTCATGTACAGCATAATGGGGAATGGGGGGGGTTATATGCACATGTATATATATAGAGAGGGATATATAGAGATATATATGTATATACAGTTGAAGAGTTCAAGAATGTTAGTTTATAACTACAGGGGAGTTACTTTTGATGAAGTCATAATTCTCTGTACATATTCAAAGTAAATAAATCTCTAAAATTAAGCAACATAGTGTTAAAAATGGACAATGGAAGCCATTGAAATAGTAAAAGACCTAAATTAACATCAAACAGGTGTAAACATCCTTAACAATTATCTACATAATATGTGATGATTATTTAGATTGACACTGAAAATTCAAGTCAAAGTCAAGCTATCAAATAAGCCTTAAAGCTTTTCCCTTCAACAATATCATTCTTTAATGAATATTACAATATATGGAGACCTTACATTTATACATAAACTTCTTGAAAACAAGAAAGTTTTTTTCACTGTCTTTTATACACATTCAGCAAATTTTATTCATTTATGATATTTGATTAACTTAGTTTAGAAAAATGAATAACAAATGATTCTTCAAAAATGATAATATTAATACTGTTAAAGTCAAAAACATTGATTTTTGGTTAATCAAGTATCCCAATCTCCAGGAAAAAAAAAAGTGTTTATCTTACCATGAATGTACAAGTTTTAGCAATTGTATCCAAGACCATTACTTTCCAGCTTTCTTCAATGTTGGCCGGTAGGGGTGTATAAATATGAGAGACAAAGATAACACAAAACATCCCCAAACAGAGAGTTTTCAACCCCATAATAATCCTTTTTCCAGCTTTTTCACAGTGCTGAGATTATTTGTTTTCTATATACACTGAATAATAAGCAGCAAACCAAACATAGACCAGAGGCCCTGTCAGGAAATATCATCATCTTCACGACGTGGAGATAATTTTCAATTCAAGCATTGCAACATCAGTATTAACTAGTTTTTCAGATAGACAGACTTTGTAAAACAGATGTTGTCATTCAACAGGTCATGCAGGTATTACTGCATGCAGTGAGAGCCTCCTACCATGTTTCTTCACCTTGCAATACCATAATCAGCACAAAATAATTTTTGTTGAGTCTTAAATCAGAGACTAAATGAAAGCACTGATTAACCCATGAAGTAAAATTTTATGATTAGTTACAATATTTTGTAGAAATTTGGGGGGGGGGGGGGCAGCACTGTGGCATAGCAGGTAAAGCTGCTACCTGCAGCGCTGGCATCCCATATAGCGCCAGTTCAAATTCCAACTGCTCCACTTCGGATCCAGCTCTCTGCATTGGCCTGGGAAAGCAGTAGAAGATGGCCCAAGCCCTTGGGCCCCTGCACCTACATGTGAGACCAGGGAGAAACTCCTGGCTTCGGATCAGCACAGCTCTGGCCCGGCCATTGTGGCCAACTGGGGAGTGAACCAACAAATGGAAGACCTCTCTCTCTCTCTCTCTCTCACTCTCTGCCTTTGCCTCTCTTTAACTCTGTCTTTAAAATAAATAAATAAATCTTTAATTTTTTTAAGTTTAAAAAAATTTGGAATTAATATAAAGAGAATGGAGTTAATAGAGTTCATGTGTACAATTCTAATTATACTCCTCTTCTTCTCTTCTTCCCTCTATTTTCTCCCTCCCTCCCTTCTTCCCTCTTTCTTTCCTTTTCTTTTTTCTTCTTTATTTCTTTTCTTTCCTTTTAAATTTTCAGATAATACATGTTTAATTTACATTATAATCAAAGGCTTATTGCTCTAATAAATAAAGAATTCAACCAGTTAAAAACCCGTAGTTCAGCAAAAATATAGGCCACGGCTATAAACAATAATCAAATGAAAAGATGCTTATTTCACTTGTACACAGTAAATTTTAAAATAATCATAGATTATTCAAGCTTTGTATCATATTGCTTTTAACCATTCATCTGAAAAGATGTAAACAAAATTTGACAAAACCATACTTGATATTAGTCAAAAGCCAAGCTCATGCCAGTATTATTATTGACCATGTTAACAAGCTGTGCATGTGATGAGCTTGGTTTTGGCACAACAGATAGGGCACATACGCAAGTTTCATCATTCACCAAGCTAGAAGTTTACAGTAAGTTAAGTTACAATGTTTCAAAACCACACTGTATTTTTCAAGAGGATTACATAGTGTTATCCTAAATTTATGTGGCAACTTGACTGGGCTAAAGGATGACCAGATGGCTAGAAAACTGAGTACGTCTGTAAGAGTGTTTCCAGGAGAGATTAGCACTTGAGCTTGTAGACTGAGTAAAGAAGATTATCCTTATGGATGTGGATGAGCACTATTGAATCCACAGAGGGCCCAGCTGCAATGAAGTGTAGAGGAAAGATGAATTTACACTCTCTGAGTTAGGATGTTTTGATAACTGCAACTCATATTAATACTGCTTATACTAGCTTTTCATTATGACAATTAATTGCTCGTGGCAACTAATTTTATAAAGAGAAAAAGTATTTGGCTCAAAGTTTTGGAAGTTCAAATCCAAGATCAGTCAGTGCCATTGGTTTGCGGCAGAAAACAACATGCAGGGAACATGCATTGGATGGAACAAGTGGTCTCATCTTGAGCTAGGGATAGAAAGACTTGGTGGCGCCAAGCTCAAATCAAACAAGCTTCTGAGAGAACAACCATGCACATGCATGCAACAATAATCTAAGGACCTCAGACTAGGCGTCATCTCCTAAAAGTTCCACACTACCCATGGATAGCACTAATCTGGAGACCACACCTTTAACATGTGATTGGGCTGTTGGAGAAATTCAAAGTCCAAACCATAGCACAGCTTCAGCATCCATTTTCTTGCACCATCTCTGGCTTGTCACCACTAATCTACATAACATAGATGGTCTCCAACCAGTTACTATTTCTGTGATCTATGTATGTAAATCCCCATACCCTGAATCACTTAATTGTGATACTTTTGTTTTATATCCAGTGAACCCAAAAAAGTGACTCCGAAGTTCCTGTGCATATCCTCATTTTCCCTTAAAATAACAAATCCTGATTAAAGATCTCTCTCTCTCTGTGTGTGTATGTGTGTGTGTGTGTGTGTTTCAAACAAATAAATAAAAATAAATTTAAAATTTTTTTGAAGAAAAACATGGAGAAAGTTTAGAATGTAGGACTTCAAATCTCACTATCTGGGACTGATATTGTTGTGCAGCAGGTTAAGACATAACCAGGGATGCCAGTATCACATATGGCCACTGGTTCAAGTGCCATCTTCTGCGCTTCTGATCCAGCTCCCTGCTAATGTGCCCGGGAGAGCACTGGATGATGATCCAAGTGCTTTGTCTCGCCTAAGTAATGTTCTAGACCCCAATAAAAGCTTCAGCCCACAGGTGTCTACCTCTTTCTCCTCATTTTCACTCAGTGGTCAAGAGTTCTTCCTAGCTCCTCCTTTCCCACTGGCCTTGAAACTTGTGTTGTTCTTTTCCTGGGAACTGCAAGTTAATAAACTTAATCGTTTGATATGCCAGTCTAAATATTCCTCAGTGTACTCTACCTGACAATACCAAAAAATATGTAATAATCAAAATAGACATGCATCTTTTTCAGGCCTTGGGTTTGGGGCTCTAAGACTGTATTGCTCAGCTTTATCGTTACCTTACCTAAAATATCTAAAGGAGTGCCTAAGGAAGAAAGACATATTTTGGCTTACAGTTAAGCCACTATGGAAGTCAGTCTGGAGATTCCTCAGAAACCTGAATATAACCCTACCATTCAACCCAGCCATACCACTCCTTGGAATTTACCCAAAGGAAATTAAATTGGCAAACAAAAAAGCTGTCTGCACATTAATGTTTATTGCAGCTCAATTCATAATAGCTAAGACCTGGAACCAACCCAAATGCCCATCAACAGTAGACTGGATAAAGAAATTATGGGACATGTACTCTATAGAATACTATACAGCAGTAAAAACAATGAAACCCGGTCATTTGCAACAAGATGGAGGAATCTGGAAAACATCATGCTGAGTGAACTAAGCCAGTCCCAAAGGGACAAATATCATATGTTCTACCTGATCGATGACAACTAACTGAGCACCAAAGGGGAAACTTGTTGAAGTGAAATGGACACTATGAGAAACAGTGACTTGATCAGCTCTTGTCCTGACGGTTGATGTACAATGTAATACTTTATCCATTTTAGTATTTTTTTTTGTTCTAGTACTACTGGTTGAACTCTGTAATTAACACACAGTTATTCTTAGGTGTTTAAATTTTAACTGAAAAGTGATCCCTGTTAGGAATCTGGAAACCATTATGCTGAGTGAAATAAGCCAGTCCCAAAGGGACAAATACCATATGTTCTGCCTGATCGGTGACAATAACTGAGCACCAAAAAGGAAACCTGTTAAAGTGAAATGAACACTATGAGAAATGGTGACTTGAGAAACCCTTGCCCTGACTATTGATGAACAACTTAATACGTTATCCCTCTTAGTATTTTTTGTTTGTTTGTTCTACTTAATACTTTTGGTTGAATACTGTAATCAATACACAATTCTTCTTAAGTGCTGAAACTTAACTGAAAAGTGATCGCTGTTAAATATAAGAGTGGGAATAAGATAGGGAAGAGATGTGCAATTCGGGACATGCTTAAGCTGACTTACCTCAAATGGTAGAGTTAGAAACATACCAGGGGATTCGAATTCAATCCCATTGAGGTGGCATGTACCAATGCCATCTCACTAGTCCCAGTGATCAATTTCTGTTCACAATTGATCATAATGATAGGACTAAGAGCCAAAGGGAGCACATAAACAAGAGTAGTGTCTGCAAATACTAGCTGATAGAATAAAAAAGGGAGAAAATGATCCAACATGGGAAGCGAGATACACAGCAGACCCATAGAATGGCAGATGTCCTAAACAGCACTCTGGCCTCAGAATCAGCCCTTAAAGCACGCAGATCTGGCTGAAAAGCCCATGAGAGTATTACAGGCATGAAAGCCAAAGCACTTTGGCAAAAAAAAAAAAAAAAAAAAAAAAAAAAAAAAAAAAAAAACCACCCTACATGAAAGATTTCCGTGAGTCAGATCCCAGTGAAAAGAACAGGTCATCAAAGAAGGAGGTACCTTTCTCTGAAGGGAGGAGAGAACTTCCACTTTGACTACGACCTTGTCTACATATGATCAGAGTTGGTGAACTCAAAAGGCTTCCATAGCCTTGGCGACTCATGACAAGAGCCTAGGGTAATTACTGATGCCATAAACAAGAGTGTCAATTTGTTAAGTCAACAACAGGAGTCACTGTGCACTTACTCCCCATGTAGGATCTCTGTCCTTAGTGTGCTATACATTGAGATTTAATGCTATAACTAGTACTCAAACAGTATTTTTCACTTTGTGTTTCTATGTGGGTGCAAACTGTTGAAATCTTTACTTAATGTATACTAAACTGATCTTCTGTATATAAAGAGAATTGAAAACGAATCTTGATGTGAATGGAAGGGGGGAGGGAGAAGAAGGGTTGTGGGTGGGAAGGAAGTTATGAGGGGGTTGGAGCCATTGTAATCCATAAGCCATACTTTGGAAATTTATATTCATTAAATAAAAGTTAAAAAAAAGAACTTAATCCATATACAATAGGAACCCAAGAAATGAAAAAAAAAAGGCTCTATAAAAAGCAAACAGTGTAATGGAACAGTCCCTCAACTATAAATAAATGATGCCATAAAGAATCACAGTTGATAGTGAAAAAAAGAATTTTTAAAAGCCCTTAAAATATTAGAAAATTGAATGCTGCAATAAAAAAATAAGATTATTCACTGTGATCAGGTGGGATTGAGTCCAAGTATGCAAAGACAGTTTAGCATATACAAACCAATAAATATAATACATTACACAAAAATAGGAAGGACAAAAATCATATGGTTAT